TATTTTTCTTTAACTTAGAGTTAGCATGATAAGGGGTATTCACTAGTTCGACATTATAACGCCCAAACTTCCTAAGAAATTTCTCAATGTATTGCTCTTGGGATAATAAAGTATTATCACCCTTCCTTATAATTCACCATGTCTTTCATTTCAAATTTAGATATCAGAAACAACTTAATTCTAGAGATAATGTTAATGCATGTACCAAATATTAGCATGTCATCTACATATAAACATATAATGACACATTCACCACTCTCAAATTTAGAGTACACACATTTATCAACATCATTAGTTGAAAAGTCATTACAAAGTAGATCACTATCAAGTTTTTCATGTCATTGTTTTGGTGTTTGTTTTAATCCATACAAAGATTTTAAAAGTTTGCACACTTTGTTATCTTGACCAGGAACAACACATCCTTCAGGTTGAGTCATATAAATTTTCTCCTCCAATTCACCATTCAAAAAAGTTGTCTTAACATCCATTTGGTGTATAACCAAATTATGGATAACTGCTAGAGCTAACAAAACTCGAATAGAGGAAAATCTAGTCATAGGAGCAAAGGTGTCAAAATAATCAATGTTGGATTTTTGAGTAAAACCCTTTGCTACTAATCTTGCCTTATATTTATCTATGGATCTATCAGGATGATACTTTTTCTTAAAGATTCACTTACAACCAATAGGATTTGTTCCATTAGGTAAATCTACTAAAGTCCAAGTATTATTTTTCTTAATTGAATTACTTTCAGTCTTAATGGTCTTATCCCAATGTATTGCATCAGAAGCCCTAGTAGCCTCTAAAAAGCTCAGTGGATCATTTTCAACTAGATTAGTGTAGAAATCATTTTCAAAGGATGTTTTCTTCCTCTGTCTTCTAATTCTCCTTAAATCCTCATATACTTTATCACTATTAATATCTATAGATTGTTTAGGTGTCTAACCAACCTTTAGAGGAAAAATATATTCACAGAACTCAACATTTTTTGTCTCAATTATAGTATTATGTTCAATTACATCATCTTTGAGGACAAGAAACCTATACGCAATACTATGTTCTGCATAACCTAAGAACATACAATCAGAAGTTTTAGAGCCTATTTTCCTTTTCTTAGAATTGGGTAACATTACCTTGGCTAGGCACCCCCACACTCTTAGATATTTAAGATTAGGTTCATAACATCTCCATAACTCGTAGGGAGTTTTACCAGTTTTCTTGTATAATATCCTATTTTGTAAAAAATACGTTGTAAGTAGAGCTTCACCCCAAAGGTTATTAGGTGCACTAGAGGCATGATATTCATCATTTCTTTTAGAGTTCTGTTTTTTCTCTTAGCTACTCCATTAGACTCGGGTGAATAAGGTGGGGTCACTTCGTATTTAACACAATAATCATTAAATGTTATATATTCTCCACCTCTATCCGACCTAATCCTTTTAATTTTCCTATTTAGTTGATTTTCTACTTCTGCTTTATAAGTTAAGAACATGTCAAACGCTTCATCTTTATGTGATATGAATCACAAAGGGTGATTTAGGGTTTTTAGGGTTAAAATCTTGTAAGAAATTTAGGAATTTAGTGATAAGGTGAAAGGAAAAAATTATTCTTTCCAAGGAAGACAACTCACAAAGGATGTGAAAGTCCTTTGATATAGCCAAGGGTTCTTGAATCACTCAAGAACTTAGGAGAATCACTCTCACTAAGATAAAAGAGATAAATTCTAATATTTCTAAAAATAAAACTCAACTTGTTATTTCTGATAAAAATGGTTCAGCTTATAAAGAAGTTTTGTCATCTGAGTTCATTAAAGGAAAATAAATGTTAAATGATTTATTAACCTAGGAATTGAAAACTACTTAATGATTGATTGTAACTGAAATTCTGGCATCCAAAAGTCAATCAGTTATGCACCCTCTTGGTCTCCTAAAAATTGATAACTAAATTTCTAATTGGACCCTTATTACAACTTGCAATAAAACCAAACTAAAGCCCATTAATTTATTAATTCAAAACACAATTTTATTAACCAACAATACTTGTTAAAGAACTTCATTTGTTTCTCTTGCTCTAGCCCTTATCATAGGTCATGTTCACATCATTCTCTCCCTCTTGAAAAGGATTTATCCTCAAATCGGATTCGTCATCTACATAAAAAAGAGATAAGTCTGATAAATTGAATGTAGAACTAACATTATACTCACTTTTTATGGCTAAATAGCTCTCCCTCACTTCAAGTGTTTCACTCTTCTTTTGATCACTCTTTTTCTTCTCAAGTGTTTCATTAACGCTTTTTTTTTCTCTCTTGAAGAAAATTTTATCTCATTTTCTTTTTATACTCCTCTGCCATCAATTTGATGTTCAAACCTTTTAACCGGGGCTCTGAATACCAACTGATATGAATCTTAAGGGTTGATTTAGGATTTTTAGGTTTAGAATCTTGTAAGAAATTTATGAATTTAGTGATATTTTGGTAGAAGAACCCTCAACAAATTAAATGTAGTTAAAATTAATGGCGTATGACGACATGGAAGGGTAAACCAATATGATGAAAATGATGAGGATAAAGATTTTGTAATACCAAACGATAATACTGCTAATATTGAACCACAAGGACTTGTCTGCCATTAACCGGTCAGGCAAGATGCAGTCCCCATGATGGTCAAATGCTAGCACAAATTTGGGGGTATTCAAAACCTGAAAGCAAGAATCCAGCAGATGGAAAATGATGATTTAATTAATTTGAAGCTAACTATGAACAAAGGTTTGAATATGGTCACTGAAAGAGTTATCTATTTGAAAGAATAATTTGACAAATTTCAAAACTCCTTTAAATAAATTTTATGATTTATTTGATTACTCCTCGTTCGATGTTTAATATGACCTCTGATCACCAAATTATTACTCCCATTTTGTATATATATATATATATATATATATATATATATTTAACTTTTCAATTATTTCTAGTTTTCCTTTCTATACTTTTGCAATTTAATATTCTATTTATTTTATGAAAATCTATTCTTAATATTTTATTTAACATTAATGACATAGACTAAAAAAATTAACTAATCATGAAAATTTGTATTCAATTACAATTTTCAGTAATCACATTTTACAATTATTTAACTCTATAATTGATTCAATTTTATTAATTTTCATCATGGACAATTACATGTAGTTTTTTTTCATCAAAATAATACATACTTTTTCAAGAAATTACTTACTTTAATTTAAAATAAATTTATCAATTAAAAGTATAATTTTATTTTATTTAAAGTAATCATCAAAATTTATTTGAAATTAACTTCTACCAATTTTATTTTATTTTAATATATAATTTCATCAATTAAAACTTTTCTATTTTAAATAATAACTCACGTTATATTCTAACATAATTTACACCAACTACATTATATTTTAAATTACTCTTTTAACACAAAAGATAAAATTATAATCTTACAATTTTATCAAATTTTTTTCTAATATATCATACTAATTACATCACTCACAAACTTTCCTCTCATTTTCCTTCATTTCTTATCAATTTTCCCTTAAATCTAAAAATCTCACTCTTACCTCTCTTTCTCCTCAAATCAAATATGGCTCATACTTTTAAATGAAATAATCTAATTAAGAAACCTTATTTTATTCAATGATGTATCGTTTATATGTATACACCACTATTTTGAAAGCTAAACTATACCGGTCAATTCAACCGTTAAAATGGAAAATTGGATTAGAAATCGTTACTTTTAAATAGCTTAATTTTAATTAAATTGGGATAAAACTGGAAAAATCGATTGATTTTTGGATCGAACCAATGTTGATAAAAAAGATTTAGGATAATTTTTTATAAATATAAATTTTCTAAAAACATATAATATATATTTTTTATCTCTTATTAATTATGTGAATTTTAGATAATAATTATTTTATTATATTTTTATTTTATTTTAACAATTATGTATTTTACTTTTTCTAATATATTTTATATTTATAATTTATAATGGTAATTTTTATTATTTTTTTAAAATTATTTCTAAACTTATTATATTATAAAAATATTATTTTATTAAATTTCAGTAGGGATTTAACCTTTCAACCTTAAACTCGTATCTCTTTAACTGTTTAAAAAAATATTGATATAAACAATCCTTCATTATTGGAAACTGAATTTTGATGTGTTGTGTGCTTCTCACACATATCATTCCTTTATTTTGCTTACTCTATACGGCCGATGTGTAGGCCCATTTCTATTAATCTGTTTTGTTTCACTGGTTTTCATTGATCATGTACTTGAAGCACAGGACAGAAAATGAAAATAATAATAGAAGACCAAGAACAATGATAAAACCACATAATTTACTTTTATTATATTTTTCCCGTGCGATCTTGGTTTTGTGTTTAGACTTAAACTGAAATTACGCGGTAAATGTTTGTACAAAATTTTATAATGTGGTTTTTCTTTTTATATGCACAAATTTTATTTTAAGTTTTTCTCTTTGTAAATAGCAAGTTTTATTGAAAATTAGCTAACATCAAGTATATATTTCACACATAAAAAGTTATATCAATACTAAAAGTTAAATGAGAAGAGAATAATAAGACATGTTGTGCTATTAGGTAGCCACATATTATATCAATATCTTGGTTTTGTAAAAAGGTGTATTTGCAAGCCTGACTTTGATCTAGTTATTCTAAAGGGAAAATTTTATAATACTGAATCAAATGCAAAAACAAGATTTCTGACCTCTTTCACTGAAGAAGATTTTCCGTTTCTGCATGGAATCACATCGTATATATTCAGAGAACAGAATTAACAAGCACAACATATAAATAGTACTTTCGAATATAGTGTTCTCAAGTATTACAAAACTGGAACCAACTTCTAATAGACAAGCATAGAAGTGAACACGTAGTATGTAACTATTATTTATGTAACAAATTCCTCATAGTGAGAAACTAAGTATGTGTATATAACCTACAAATCTGCTTCATAACTTGGCCTTATTCTTGCAATTTTGGTTTGTAATCTTGAAGTCAGGAATACTAACAGTGAATTGGCAATTGGACTTTGCTACAATATGTTTTTTGATGAATCCGAGGAAGGTAACTTTTCCAGGAATCAGAGTAACTGTGTCCATAGAGATATCTCCTCCCATTACATCCCCAAGAAAACTGGTCAAGTTGGAAGCTAGTTCATCCGCCTGAAGTGTGAGTCTGCATGGAAGTATTGCAGACCCCCTTGAAGGAATCAAACCAGGGTATATCTCTGTCTGTCCAACCTCTTTTCCTTTATACAGCAACACGCTCTTTCCCCCTTCATGCTTGAAACTAGCACGGTTTCTGTTCTCAACCTGGACCTTGAGATCAAGAGTGACATTGAGTTGTATGTCAATGGCTGGAAATGTGACACGGGGTGCTATACCCTCCAAAGTGGCAGACACAAGCTGAATTTTTGGGTCTTTGGTCTTGAACAAGGTAAAGGCAAGGATAATTGCCACAATGACTAACACAATCAGCAGCAACAGCACTGCCCCAGTGACCATTACACACACTCTTCTCCTCTTTAGCTTTTTCTGTGAAATCACCACCACTTGCTCGTGGTCCTGTTTGCTTTGTGATTCTGTGATGATATCTTCTTGTTTTGGTGCTAATTGAGGCATTATGGAGGCCCAAGAGAGGTAGCAGAAGACAGGGAGGTGTGAAGATTAGATCTAGAAATGAGATTTTGGTGCTATGATATAGGAGTTCCAACCATAATAATAATAATGTACTAATTATATCCTGTGGTAGTTGGTAGTTGTGGGGGTCCAAATGCTTTTAATGCATACTATTAATTAGTAGTATGTTGAAATGCAGACTCAACTTAATGCGCGGTAAGCCATGCCGAGTTCCCAACTGTCATAAGAGTCTTTTTTTTTTTTTCTTTTTCTTTCACAGTAAGAGTCTCTTTCTAAATTTATGTATCTCACATTAAAAAAAATGCAAAATTTACATGTAATATATTGGTGATGTTTTATAATTAAAAATACATTTAGTATTTTTTTAATTAAAGAAAAATATTTAAAGTATCTAAAGAATTATATTGAAATTAGCAGTACTGTATCTAAGTCAGACTGCACAGTTTCAATGCGCTTCTCCGTTTAGGTTTCATCTACTGTTGCTGTAAATATTGAGAATGTTGACTTTTAAATATAAATACGTATTTTAGATTATTTTTCTGAAGTTATTTTATACTTTCTGTCATTGATTTAAAATAAAATTAATTAAAAATTATTATTTTATTAATAAATGAAATTGTTGAATAGAAATTTTTACTAATGTTGGATTGTCAATATATATTTTTCCAAAAAACAACACAGACGTATTTTGCTTCCCAAACAAGTGAGGTGCCAGTATAATGTAATTTTCTTTGATGTAGAAGTAACATTTCTCTCTTTTTTTATTGCTTGGTACAATGTATTTACACAAGATTTGGATTGTTTCTCTAAACAAAAATATTGTGTCACATGTGAAAAATTAGATCAAAAAGGAAATGAAGGAAAAAGAAAGATGAATCACATGAGAGGAAAAATTGAGATTGAGAGAACTTGAGAGGTGAGTGAGAAATGATTTTCATAGATTACTTTTCTTTTCTCCAACCTAACATAGAAATCAACCTGAAACCTTTGTCTTGGATATGCAGTTATTGTTCACAACTTTTCTAGAGGAAATGTCGAGGTTGAAATCACAAGATGAGGTAGAAGCCACGTCGAATTTGATAAAGCCCAAGACTTTGACGGTGCCAAACATTCTCACTATGGTGTTTAGGGGGATTGAACCTGATGCAACATCGTTTTTGATCTCACTATTGGAGACCAAACGGTCAGCCATAATAGTGAGTGTCAAGTTCATGCCTTTAGTCTCCTCTGCTAAAATCTCTCCATTGGGGATAGGGCCTTCCCCAATCAATTCCTCCTTGTAGAAGAGTTGTGCAGAGCTATTATGGTATTCGAATCCAAACTTGTTTCTGTTGTAAATTGAAACATCCACTTCCAATGTCACATTCACATCTATACTCATCTCGAATATGTCCATGCTCAAGTTCATGTCCTCAATCTGTATGCTGTCCACTGTGCTAATAGGTTGGTGTGGTTTGAGCACTGTAAATGCTAAGAGCACCAACAGCAACAAAACTAAGATCACTGCACATAATGTTACCACCAGGCACGTGATCTTTCCGCCTTTGCTGCCAGATCCCCGTTTCATTCTGCCTTTTCCTTCTTACACCAGAGTGGATCTACATTATCATGCAAATTATCTATCAGTTATATTTGTTGGATTTTTAACGTAATTTCAAGTGCATGAAACTTCAAAACAACCATCATTTCTGCCTCAAATGCAAATTTACAACTCCCTGTATCAATTCATTTGTTTATCTCCCTGTCTATATAGATAAAGCAGGTGCATGTGAGATGAGATATGTATCTTCAAATTCAGAATAATACTAAACATTATGCATGTTCACCAAATGTTCCAATATTATTGGTATTCATATTTTTGGTTTCTCTTTGAATCGGAGGATGAAAGCAACTTCTAACTTGCAAGAATCTACTCCCATATTATTTATTGTCTATTAAGAACACAACAGATTTCTTGATATATATGTTTCTTGTGTGGCTTGGTGAATAAGAGGTCTAGGATAAAACTGTTAAAAACTTGATTTCTTCAGAGACTAACCATTTTGTTTTTTGTCCTATCTATTTGTCACTTTGCTTTGTTTTCCTGGTTTAAGAACCTGCCAAAGTCTCATTTTTTATATATCGTGATTCGCGATATATCAATCTGCATTTTAAAAATTAAAATACTAATTTATAATCTTCTTGAAAAAAGAAAAAAGATCTTGAAAATTATGTTGTCTATATTATAATGCCAACACTTTGAATAATATGATGTGATAGTTAAACAACTAGATAACACAAGCACGTTGTAATGATTAAATGCAGTACATTAGTATTAAGAGTTTCTGTTTTTTGATCATTTGGCTTACCTGAACAGCAAAGGATTAGTGAGGAAGTTCAGTTGTCAAAAGCACCTCTTGATAACTTTACTCCCCAACCAACTGTATTTGAAAGTAAACATCATATAGTATTAGGTTTGGTGTAACAGTAGAACCATAATTTTTATATTTAAAAAAAAAATATATATATATATATATGTATATGTATATGTATATGTACATTTGTGTCTGTCTGAGTGTCTATACACACAGGTCAAAATAGAAAAGAGAGCATGAGATTCAAATTTATTTAATTATTTTGGTTAGAGAGAAACAAAACTTGGATTGCTTGTGGATTTAAAGAGAGTTGATTTGTGAAATAAAGAAAGAAAATAAAAACACCCATGATTTGTTTGAGATTCAGGGTTAATATGATTAACACCAATGACCAATCACACAAGCAAATATTTGAATTTGTCAAAGTTTTCCTAGGAGGAAATATACCTACCTTTTCCAATTAATCAAGCAAACCATGCATCTGAAAATGATGTCATTTCTTGCCTCCAATAAAACAAAAATATGTAGGAATACCATATATACATGTGATGCAGGTTTTGATAACATGAAACATCATAGTTTCCAACACATTATGTTACTATTACTTTTTTGTCCATATTTTGTCCGTGTTCATGATTCAAGACAGATATGGAAATGTGTGATACACAGAGAACCAAATTCCTGATGTCTATTTCCAAACATGATCACATATGCAATGCAACAAATATCTTCACCAAATTCACATTGATGAAAAGATTGATTCAAAATCCAAAGAAAGAAAGACGAAAACAATATGGCATTGCAACAAATCATGTAACGTGAAAAACTTATTAATTTGAGTACCTGCTAATTGATGCTTGAATGGAAGGGTCCTCTCACAAATGTTGAGACCCTTAAATGTAATCAATCCAATAGAAAGTGGAAGATTTGAATAGACAAATTGACAAACCTGACCCACCTTCAGAGGTGTGTGTGGTTTGCCAATTGCTTTAACAAAGCTATTATTGGATATTAAGTAACAATTCAATTTAACCATTAACAAATAAAGTTTAATTATCAGCATGTGAGTTGGAACAGATCCTGTCATATATGTCATTTTCTATTCTCCTCTATGCCATGGTGGTAAAAATTTGTACTTAGCCTTGAAACGCGAATGCTATGTTTGTACTTTGTAGGACTGTACCAACCACTAAGAAATGCATGACCACACAAACCTTGGTTCAAAGTTTATTATATATATTTATGTCATTTACTTACAAAATTTCTATTTTTAAATTATATACTGTAACACAAATAATAAATGATATCATGATGTTTATTCATATGTATACATTTTAAAAAATTATAAAAGTATTTTTATTGTTTACATGAAAATTTTATTATAAGCAAACACCAACTCCCTGCTCTTAATGCTTTGTGTTTACATATATCATTTTATGATTTCAAAAATGAATGTTTAATGTGTGCCCTAGTCAAAGTCAAAGTGTAACGTATTTCTTGAGTAAAAACATAATTGGTACGTTTCAAATAAAAAAAAATCACACTTTAAATTATATATGCACATACACAACCTAATCCTAAGTATTTTCAGACATATACACTCTAGTATTTTATTATTGTTTTAAAAAAGTTGTAGAAAGTTAAATTATTATTTTTTAAAATAAATTAGTCAGGTCAAATTTTTTTTACAACTTATTTGATCTATTTTTACTCTTGTTTGTCAACAACATATTATTTATGGGAGATGTAAAAGATAATATATATATAAATCATGAAAGATAAAAATAATGAATGAATTGTTTATATTTGTGATAATGTAAGATGAATATTATGTGCATGTGTTAAAGAGAAAATAAATAATGTATGTATAAGTATAAAGTATTTATATAATGTGTGATATTAAAGGGATGAAAAAAATGTCTAAAGGGTAATTGTTATAATTATTTTTATCGAACTCTTATAATTATTAATTTTTTACTTTTATTGTATTTTACAATATAATAATAATTATTGTCTTTCATTAATTTTTTTGCTAATAAACTTAATTTATATTATTTTATTAAATTCAATTTAACTAAATTTACATTTTTAAACCCCATATATACCCAAGTACATTTTTGAAAATATTATCAATACTACTTTTGACATTATTTTTTTTTACTATTAGTCTCTCTTGTGTTACAATGACATGAGGCTTTTTTTTAACGGAATTACAGCAGAGAGTAAAAAAATCCTAAACTTATTCAGTTTAAGGGGAATTATACTAATATTACTTTGTTAGTCATATTTTACTTCAAAATCAAAGATAAGGATAATGTATAAATATTTTTATTATTTGATAAAAGAGGGAAGATAAAAAGTTAAAAATAATAATATTTTTATTTATTTCTACTCACCTATTTATTTTGTTATTTTGTTTCTATTTTTTTGTTCAAATAAATATGTTTTGTTTTCGCATATATTTATATTTTTTCCAAATAAGAACTAAAAATGCAAATACGACCCTAAAACAATTTGTAGAAAACATATTTATTATTTTTAGAACATAAAAAAGCATTAAAATAACGAAGGAGTGTGAATTAATAAACGCTGTTGGAAGCGTAAAGTGAATTAAATTTAGAATAGAAAGAAAGAAAGGTCCAGCGCATTCGATTCCCCTCACACCCTTTAATTTTTTGTGGGCGGAATGGGAGGAGGAGAAACTACCAACCAACAAGAAGAGAAGAGTGGTTGAGCAGTATGGAGTTGGCAGTGGAGTGGAACGACGAAGTGCGCGAAGGGGTTGTGAAGAGGCTAAAACTTTGGCAGCAACGCAGCAACAAACCCGTAACGGCACGCGTAGCGGAGCTGGTGGAGCACTTGAATACTCTCGGCATTGCGCTTCCTAGTCCGGAGCTGGGGGAACTCTTAGTCTCGGAGATATGCTTCCACAACAACCACCCTTGGGTGTGGAAGTTCACGCACCACGCCCTCTCATCGCGCCTCCTCTTCCCCCTTCAAATACTCTCTCTTCTGGCTTCCAACGTAATTCCTCACCGCCACTCTCATTCTCACTCATTCGCTCTCTTCCTCCCTCTCCTCGCGCAGCACGCCTTCTCCTTTTACCCTACGCCTTCTCTCTCCTCCAACCTCAGGTAACCAACCGTAACCTCTCTCTCTCTCTCTCTGTCACTCACTCGTTGTTACTCAATCCACTGATTTCGCGTAATTGCTTAATCGCGTTTCTGGCTTTGCAGGATGGTGAGTTCGGTGGACTCCGTGCTTCGGTTTTCGGAAACGTATAAGGTGCGCGATCTGGAGCTAGGGCACGTGTTCGTGCTGTTCTTTTACGAGATTGTGTTGGCGCTGCTCGATTGCATGCTGATTGATTGGGGCTTTCAAGTGACGTTTAGTGAGAAATCGAGTTTGATTGCTGCTGGTGAGGGGGAGGGTTGTATGGACATTGATCGTAATGTGACGCAGAGTTTTGAGAAGAGTGAATACCGTGAACAGATGAGGAAGCGGAATTCATTCACCGCCTTAGAGGTATTGGAACGACTAACCGAAAGCAGAAAGGCTACTATTTTGCTGCAGTCTGTTCTCTTGAACATGTATTGTCTCCTTCTTTGTATATGATTTTTGTATTGAATGTTTTATGCTTAATTGCTGTTGTGATTTGTATGGAACATGTTTTGCCGTTTAACTAATTTACATGCTGAAGTGATGTGTTTGTATTAGTGTAATCCATTGGGCCTTACGAAACTGAAAGTTTGAAGTTTGTCATTGCCTGATGTAACAATGTGTTTAGTAGAATTTGTTCTCTGTTCATCGTATTGCTAGTGGTTTGATGTGTATTATTTTCAATTTAACGGAAAATAAATAAATAAAGATGAGAAAAATACTTATATTGAACATGCAACAACAGTATGTGCGAGAAAGCATTTGTAGAAGTGGTTTCCTGGTCTTGTGAGTTGTGAATGCTACAAGTAACCCAAATGAGTGCAAATTCCATGTGCAAGAAAAAGATGAGAAAGAAGCACGGACTTATATGGTAGATTATGCCAGAATGAGAAGTCGTTCTACATTCCTTATACCTTTTCATACTTCTGTCTTGCACCAATTGCTATTAGAGCCAAAGGCAATCCAATTGGCCATGGCAAGACAGGGTAGACTTGGATGAGTTGGACTATGCCTGAAAGTTTTCTCATGTACAATCATGCTTTAAAGCCACAACATCATGTTGGATCTTTTTGCTTCCATTAAGAATCAAGATGGAAACTGCTGTCCGGTAGGCAGTTTTAGTTAGTCTAGGATAAAAAATTATGGTTGATTTGAATTCTCCTCTATTCTATGATATCCTCGAGAGCAATATGCTACTTCTGGAATATTTCATCTCCACAACAAAACTATTTTCAGCTGCTCAATCAAGAAGTCATCTAACAAAGAGGAAATAATATACTTAACAAAGGTTCCAAAATTATTCATATCCTGCAGTATTTTCCTTCTGACTTGTTTAAATGGGTAAATATTTTTAAATTCATTTATTGGACTGACTTATCAAATAAAATCATAGAAAACTTGTTTACAATCCTTTTACCTTAAAGGGCCTTCTTTCCTTTTTTACTGGTAAATGTTGGGCAGAACATTAATTGTTTCCATTAGTCATTATCTAATGATTTGGGAAATTTGATTTTATTGAATAGCACCTATTCATATGGTGAAATTCCCAGTAATTACTCTTCTTACCTGAGCACATGTAATGGTAACCAATTTTAATCCTTAAAGTATATAAGTTAATTTTATTTAAACATTTTGCACAAATTTTATTGTATGCATATATTTACTTGCTCTCTTGGATTTGCGCTGGGAAACTGACCATGATTGTTCCACATTTTGTTTTTCATCATGTATAATAGGCCTGAAAAATTCAATTGCCTCCAGCAGAGGCTGCAATTTCTTGAATCCCTTGAGTTGGCCTCATCGGAGCTAAAATTAGTAAACCAAGTCCTAACCAAAGTGTCTGCAAACATTCGTGGAGTTTATCATTATGATTACTGCCCAAGTAAGCATCGGTTGGTTGGGATGCTTGTCAATTTGGGATCATGTAAGACACCGTTGAGATGCAACTACAGATTTTGTCAGTCTCCTTGTTGGGTTCCTTTTGATATTTATATGGAGAATGCTATGGATTCTAGACAAATTCCTACCAAATCAGCTATTGATGTGCTTACAGGTAAATCCTCTAAGAGAGTTTTCAATGGATTTATTACTGTTTAATAGTTATTAACAGTTTATTTTCAGAAAGTTATGAGATAATGAGATTCAGTTCTTTCCTAATATTCATGAACTACTTGCAGAAGGAATCAAGACACTTCAAATACTAAACCAGGCTACCTGGCAAGAAACTTTTCTAGCACTTTGGCTTTCGGCCCTTCGGCTTGTGCAGCGAGTTGAGACTGGTCCATAATAATCTTTTGTTCTCATTGAAATATTAACCAAATATTTAACTTATAACCCCACCCACATGGTTAATTGCAGGAACGTGATCCTCCTGAAGGTCCTATTCCCCATCTTTTGGCTCGTCTATGTGTACTTTTATGTATTGTCCCCTTGGCAATTGCAAATGTTCTACGGGATGACTCTCAACATAATTCGTCTTCTATTCAAGTGTCTGTGGAATCAAAATACACACATGAAATTGAAACTGATGACTCTGTGAGACTTGGACTGATTTCATCTGTTCAGGTCCTTGGGCACTTTTCTGGTCTCCTGAGCCCTCCTACATTAGTTATTGATGCAGCCAATCAGGCAGCTAGGAAAGCAGCAAGCTTCATTCATAATTCTATGAATGGAAAGGGTGAATCTGGCACTGGAATTCATCCTAATGCCAATACAAAAGCAGGTTAAATTTGTGGAACTAGATCTTTACTTCCATGATTCCATCTCGCATTATATGCATTCTATTTTCTTCATGTTTATTTTTCTGCAAATATCTATGATACTTTTGAATTATCTTTCAGGTGGGAACTTGAGGCATCTCATAGTGGAAGCGTGCATTGCTAGGAATTTAATGGATACATCAGCATACTTCTGGCCTGGTTATGTCTCTACTTCTGTTTTGTCTTTGTCAGATTCATCATCACTAGAAAAGTCTCCTTGGTCAACATTTATGGAAGGAGCACCACTAAACAGTACACTTATAAATTCTCTTACGATGACCCCTGCCTCAAGGTTTATTTATTTGTCAAATTTGATCCAATTTTGGTGTTATCTTACCTTCCGATTATTGACCTTTATTTTCATCTGTCCTAGCCTGGCGGAGATAGAGAAGTTGTACTATATTGCATTAAATGGATCAGATGTGGAAAGGCCAGCAGCTGCAAAGATTCTATGTGGTGCATCCCTCAGCCACGGATGGTATATTCAGGTGAAAAATCCTTCCTACATTGCAAGTCCTCTTGCAACACAGTTGCTAAGAAGTGCTTCATGCTTTTCCTTGGATGTATATTTCTTAAATCATGTCGTTTCAATCCCTCTTTCACCCTAAAGTATAATCTTTGTACCAGATGATGGTGTGAACTTAGGTTTTCAGATTTATTATAATATGATTGTTAGAATGAACAATGAAATGTGCATAACTCTACCCTAAAGATTAGCTCAAGGTAGGAGGGTTAGTCTAGTAATTTTAAAGAGTATTTTAGCTATATACTTGGTCAATGTGGAAGCTTAACAATATAATCTTGTCTTAGTCTCAGCTAGGAGCTAATGCATACTAGAATGATGGACTAGTTTGGAGTCGGCTGGATATAATTGTGTGGAATTGAAGCAAACAATTATTGTTTTAATGTAAATTGGTAGTTCATTGGTTTCCAATCATATTTTGAATTAACATACCTCCTTTGTTTTTCGCTCAAGTATTTTGTACCTTATTGCATGGTTATCAAAATCACAAGCCTAACTCAAACTCTTAACGAGTTTACATCCATGTATACATGAAAGGGGTTAACCTGTGAAAATTCCTTTTGTGTTAAGTTTGTGTAAACTCTTGTGAAATTGCAAGTTCATAGAAGTCTAAAATGTCACAATCCCACATGTGAGGATCAGAACAACACCCCATGCTCTTGAAGAACATATTGCATCATGCTGCAATCAGTGGTGGAGATTGGCCGCACTCCAAAAGTGGGATTTCTTGTCCACTCCAGCCTTTTCATATTGAAAAAAATTTGTTCTTCTAAGGAATGTTTCACCTGCAGCCCAACCAACAGGGAGGTGATGATGGGTCAGGTCATAATTAGGGTCTAGGGTTCTCTCTTTCTTTTTTTTTTTTTTGAGTCCAACATTTCACAGTGGTTTTGTTGGAAAAACATGGATGAGCTTTTTACTTGTTAATAAAAAATTGTTATTTATTATATAATATGATAATATGAAGAAGAATTATAAAATATTTAAATGTAAAAGAAAAACTACAGCGTAACATCTAATATAACAACTAATTAATAATTATAAACTAAATTAAACATAATATATGATACAAAAATTAAATTATTATAAACTAAATATTTTGCTTGTTTTGTCCCTTCAATTTTGGAAAGTAATATATTTACTCGTATTGGAAAACGACACTCGAATAGAAGGGAAACGATTTAGGGTTAGGTTTTGGGAGGTGATTTAAGGTTAACCTAAAATGTTTTGTATTTACTGTATTGGGATAGTTTTAGTTTACTATTTTGCTTTATGGAAATTAAAATGTTGAATTATTATATTATTTATTGTTATTTTATATTAAGTAAACTCTTGTGAGTTTATGGAGCTTGCATGAGTTTATGTAAACACTCGATTTTGACAACCATGCCTTATTGTTTTTGTTAAAAGTCCAACATCGTCTGCCTCATGTAATTTGGTATGGTTTAAATACATGTTAGACTACTTCACATATTGCCAATTGGTTTTATGTTAGAATCTTAACATGGTATCAGAGCAGGTCCGACCACATTCCGATGACATTTCGGCCACTGTCCAACACCTTCCAGTGACCTTCCGGCCTCTGTTCCGCTACCGCTGTCCGCTGCTGCCATTCGTCAGTTTTCTAGCAAAGTGAAAATTGATACATCCCTCTCTATCTAATTCTATCTTGGGTGTTCTTCTTCCAGGTTCCATTGTCTCCATCTTACATCTACATTATTTAAAACATGTCGTCAGGTCCCACATCTTCCTTTTCCGGAACTCCCACTATAACGGCTGAGAAATTAAATGGAAAAAATTACATGTCTTGGTCCTCTTCAATAGAACTTTGGTTCCTAGAGAAGGGTTTCACGATCATCTAGAAGAAAACAGAAGTAAGATACCAGAAGATCAGATCCAACAATGGAAAAAACTTGATTATCAACTCTATGCTCTATTGTGCCAATTAGTATAACCACATATTTTGAACACTCTTAGATCCTTCAAAACATGTAACTCTTTCTCGAAAAAGATTCAGAATATCTTCGCAAATGATATCCAACGCCTCTACGATTTTGTTAATCGATTAGCCTCTCTCAAGCAAGTAGATAAAGATATGATGACCTTTATTGCTGAAACTCAATTATCAATTGAAGAATTAAAAATGTTCCTAGAGGTGGATTCGTTAGAGGAGATAAAACAAAAGTTGGATAAATTTTATATGGTTGACTCTCTGGGCTATGAATTCATAATTTGATCATGTTAGAGATCAAATTTTGACTGGACAAGAAGTTCTTTCTATGGAAAGTTTGATTACAAGACTGCTTCGTGTTCCAACTCTCTAAGGAAAAAATAATCAAGAACTTGTTGAATCTTCTGCTATGATTTCTACTCGTGGAAGAGGAAGTCGTGACACCATAGGAAGACGTGGAGGTAGAGGACGTCTTCATTGCACTCATTGCAAGATAATGGGTCATACCCTAGAAAATTGCTACTCTTTGCACGATTTTCGTGACAAGATTGTCAATATTTCCAAATCTGAAGTGGTTGAACCCAAGTTATCTCACGAAGAATGTCAAGAATATTTGAGGTTGAAAACCATTAGTCTAGCACATTCATCAACAACCCCAAATTCATCAACAACTTGCATTTCACAAACTGTGGAAAGTCAAAATCCATGGATTATTGACTCAGGTGCTTCTAATCACATGTCTGGTAATATCTCTTTGTTCTCTTCTCTCTCATTTCCTAAAACTCATCATCTCATACTCTTAGCCAACGGATCCAAAGTAGTCTCTAAAGGAACTGGTCAAGTCTCCATTTCTCCATCTTTAAACTTAAAATATGTTCTTTTTGTTCCTTCATGTCCCTTCAGTCTCATTTCCCTAAGTCAATTAATCAAATTATGAATTGTTTAGTAACCTTTAATGCCAACTCTTTTGTTATACAGGAACGTGGTATGGGTCGATAGATTGGCGAAGGACATGAATCTGGAGGCTTATACTACCTTGGGACTAAATCATCTGTATCCTGTGTTGCATTCTTATCTCCAAAACTATTACACGAACGTTTAGGGCACCCTCACTTATCAAGATTATTAAAAAAAATGGTTCCTGAACTTCAAACTCTTCAAAATTTTGAATATGAATCATGTCAACTAGGGAAACATACTAGGTCCTCTTTTCCTAAACGTTCTGAATCTAGATGTGACTCTATCTTTTCTCTTGTTCATTATGATATTTGGGGTCTTATTCGTGTCTCATCCTTTGGCTATAGATATTTTGTTACCTTTATTGAAGAATTTTTTTGGTGTACTTGGATTTATCTAATGAAAGACCGTTCTAAATTATTATCTATCTTCAAGTCTTTTCTTAACGAAATCCAAAATCAATTTGGAAAAGTAATTAAAGTTTTACGAAGTGATAATGCCAAAGAATATTTTTCTACTTATTTCTTTACTCTTTTAAGTTCCCAAGGCATTTTACACCAGTCTACTTGTCCTCACACACCACAACAAAATGGTATAGCAGAACGAAAAAATAGACATTTGGTTGAAACTGCTCGTACCTTATTACTTGGTGCAAATATGCATGTTCATCATTGGGGAGATGCTATTCTTACTGCATGTTTTCTCATTAACAAAATGCCATCTTTTTCTCTTGACAATAAAGTTCCACACTCTATTCTATTGTCAAAGGAGCCACTCTTTCATGTTTCTTCTTGTGTATTTGGTTGTGTATGTTTTGTTCATGATATGTCTCCAAGTTTAGATAAACTATCAGCTAGAGCCATCAAATGTGTCTTCTTGGGATATTCTCGTCTTCAAAAAGAATATCAATGTTATTTTTTTGAAACCAAAATGTACTACATGTATGCTAATGTCACTTTTTTGAATCAACTCCCTTCTTCCCTTCTTCTATGCAGGATATTAGTTCGGTTCAAAATGTCCTACCTATACCCTTAATAGCCATTTGTACCTCCTCCTCTTGACACCCAAAATCCCACACAAAATACATCAGAATCCTCATTACTGTTTGATATTACCTATCAATACAGGAGTTAAATGATCAGTCCCATGCCCCAAAATGAGTCTTCCTCAGTAGATCCTTCTCAATCATCACCTAATACCACGATTCCTGATAATGATGACTCAAGTTGGTTCATTGCCATTCGCAAAGGTACTCGCTCTACTCGTAAGCCACATCTTATTTACAATTTTCTTAGCTACCACATATTGTCTCTTTCCTATTTTTCTTTTGTTTCTTCTGTATCCATTATTACTATTCCTAAAAATGTGAAAGAGACACTTGATCATCCTGGATAGTGACAAACCATAATTGATGAAATGCAGGCTCTTGAGCACAATGGTACATGGAACTTAGTTCCTCTTCCACCTGAGACTGTTGGTTGTCATTGGGTTTATGTCATTAAAGTTGGACCCAAAGGTGAAGTTGATCGACTCAAAGCTAGATTAGTAGCAAAAGGCTATACTTAGATCTATGACCTTGACTACATAGATACTTTTTCTCCTGTGACCAAAATGACTACTGTTCGACTTTTCTTTGCTATGACAGTTATCCGTCATTGACCTCTACATCAGTTAGATATCAAGAATGCTTTCTTGCATAGTGATCTTGAGGAGGAAATCTACATGGAGCAACCTCCTGGTTTTGTTGCTCAGGGGGAGTCTAGTTTGGTTTGTAAGTTACATCGTTCTCTCTATGGTTTCAAACAATCTCCACGTGCTTGGTTTGGAAAGTTTAGTCACATTGTTCAAAGTTTTGGACTAAAACAAAGTGAAGCAGATCATTTTGTTTTTTATTATATTGCTTCAGGAAAATGTGTTTATTTAATTGTATATGTGGATGATATAGTCATTACAGGGAATGATGATAAAATATCTCTGTTAAAGAAACATTTATGCAATCACTTCCAAACTAAGGATCTTGGTTGTCTCAAATACTTTCTTGGGATTGAAGTGACTCAATCAAAAGAAGACATTGTAGTCTCCCAAAGAAAGCATGCTTTAGATATCCTGAAAGAAACAAACATGATTGATTGTAGACCAGTAGACGACCCTATGGATCCAAATCAGAAATTAATGACGAATCAGGGTGAACCGCTATTTGATCCTGAGAGATATAGAAGACTTATTGGGAAATTCATTTATCTCACCATTACCAGACCTGACCTATCTTTTGCCGTTGGAGTTGTTAGTCAATTTATGCAAAATCCGCGTACTGATCATTGGAGAATGCTGTCGTTCACATCCTAAAATATCTCAAAAAGGCTCCAGGACAAGGTCCGTTGTATGAAGATAAAGGGGTACCCAAATATCTGGGTATTATGATGCTGATTGGGCTGGATCCCCTATGGACAAACGTTCCACTACAGGATATTATGTTCTCATTGTAGGCAACATTATTTCTTGGAAAAGCAAGAAACAAAATGTAGTGGCCCGGTCTAGTGCTGAAGCTGACTATAAAGTAATGACGTCTCTTACTTGTGAATTAGTGTGGGTGAAACAATTCCTTCAAGAATTGAAATTTTGTGAGATCCCACAGATGAAGATGTATTGTGACAATTAAGCAGCTCTCCACGTTGCTTCTAATCCGGTGTTCCATGAAAGGAACAAACATTTAGAACTTGATTGTCATTTTATTCGTGAAAAATTGTTGTCCAAAGAAATTTGCACTGAATTTGTCGGGTCATATGATCAACTTGCAGATGTGTTGAAAAAGCCTTTGAGAGGACCTCAAATTGAATTTATTTGTTCAAGCTTGGCACATACAATTTATATGCTCCAGCTTGGGGGGAGTGTTAGAATTATTATTAGGTAGTGGTTAGTAGATGGTGGTTGTTTTTTAAATACTGGAATCCTATATATATATATATATATATATATATATGAGATCATAGAGTGGATGAATGCATTCTCACTAAATTATAAATTTTCTTTTAACTCTCTTAACTTGGTATCAGAGTCAAAGCCTAACATCTATCCGATTATTGTCTTGGGCTAAGAGTTGCCCTTTCGTTGTGGGTCAAAAGTACCCTTTGCTTGGTCCGGTAGACATCGTTGGAGGGGGCGTGTTGAAAGTCTCACATCGCCTGCCTCATGTTATTTGATATGGTTTAAATACATATTAGACTACTCCACATATTGCCAATTGGTTTTATGTTGGAACCTTAACCGTTTTCCTGTTTATTGAAATTTTGTAAAACCCCTCTTGGGGGTGCATTTTGTAGTTTGGACCATTAATTGAAATTTCAGTTTATTAATTAGTTTTACCACTACTTTGGTTTGGCTTTAACACTTCATGGACCTGGATTTGAGTTTCACTGATATGAACCTACTTTTGTTCTCCTCGTCTAAACTGGAAAAAATGTTATACTTTTGCTCTTTGCAGTGTTGACTGTTGATAAAACTTGCATTAACTCTGTCCTTTTCAGATAATAGTATTTTCCTTTGGTTGTACTGGCCTATGGTTAATCTGTGAATACTCAGCTCTTGGTAATGCATTCCTGAATGTTATATCCCTCATCATTTACTGTTTCTGAAGTCAAGGATTGTCCCCTTTGGCAGGAACATGTGATCCACCATGTGGTCAAGCTTCTTACTTCTCCGATACCTTCTAGTCACGGTGGATCTCGGAGCCTTTTGGTTGATAATATGCCCATGCTAAGTGCTGTCCTTCGTGGAGCTTCTACTGTTGATACTGTTCATATACTTTCTTTACATGGTGTAGTAAGTGAATCACTTCTATAATTTATTTGATAGCAGTATGAATATGATAAATCTAGATTCTTTCTAAACAAATTATAAGGATGGAAAATTTTGGGTTTACTTGGCAGTTGGCAGCTGTTGAAAATATCAGTCCTTGTTTGGTGCTTGGAATTGGGCTCCAATTCAACCTTTGAATCATAATTGAACCATCAATTTCTAAATTTCATGTTTGATATGCCTATTAGAATGAGAAAATTCAATTCTTTATAAAAATTCCATGGTTTGAAAAGCAATTTAATAAAATCCTTTCCAATTCCTTACCTGGATGCTAAAAAGTGCAGTTCGCAGCTACAGTTGGAGGACGTGTGCCTATATCCCGCCTCACCTCCAATTCTGTGTAATAATGAAGTGAACATTAATTTTATGTTCTTCCAACAACTGAAATTGGGTAGAAAAGAGAATTATAGAAAGATGAGACAACATTAAAAACATGTAGGATGAATGCTGTTTAATGCTGTTTGTTCCTGCACCTCAATTTATGGAGCTATCAATCAGCTGTCTGCTTTGAAATTGAAAACATTTACTTGAATCTGTCAACAGTTTCTAAACTACTACCTCAAATCTTATACATAAAAAAAAAACATGTAGGATGAATGCTGTTTAATGCTGTTTGTTCCTACACCTCAATTTATGAAGCAATCAATCAGCTGTCTGCTTTGAAATTGAAAACATTTACTTGAATCTGTCAACAGTTTCTAAACTACTACCTCAAATCTTATACATAAAAAAAAAACAAAAAAAAACTTAATTCATGAATATATCATTAAAAGTAGTTAAATTAATTTATTTTAATTAATAATGTCATCAATTAAATTTATTCCAAAAATGTGCAAAAACTAAATGATTTAAGTTGTAGTTATATTTAATCAGACTAGTTGTAATTCAAGGGCTAATTTTTTCAGCCAATGAATATAACATTTTGTTAATAGCCCAATGAATACATTTACTTTAATAAGTTTAATAAGAAATGAGTGGATGTCTCTTAGATAAACTTCACAACGAATTAAGGGTAGAAAAAGTAATTTTTAATTAATACATTTGAAATTGAGTTTATGTTTCTTAAATTAGGACTAAAGAAATTCTCGTAACTGTAGTAGAAAAGTTGATGTAGGGAAAGTTGGGGAGTAGTGGTTGTTTATTATAATTGTTATTTGTATTTAGCAAGTTGCTACTGCCATTCTGTATTCTGGTCTAATGGCATCTTTTCTACATTCCTTGTGTTGAAGGTTGGCAATGTGTTTTAATAAGTTGTTTCTTTTTCCTTTGAAAAAAAGAAGCAATAAGTTTTATCTAAGTCCATTTAATCAAGTTAAAGCACCCTTAGATAGTATGTCTATTTCAAGCTCCAATTTTTAGCACTTTGGACGCCAACTTCATTTAATTTCTTTTCCAGTCTAGCTTTAATGTCAAGTATTTTTATCAGGGTTCTTTGTGCAGGTCCCGACAGTTGCTGCTTCTTTATTGCCACTTTGTGAGGCATTTGGCTCAATTAAACCGACTTCAAATAGCACTGTCGATGAGGCTTCAACATCAACATACATGGCCTTTTCTTTAGCGTTTCTTTTCCTTATTCGATTATGGAAATTCTGTAGACCCCCACTTGACCTGTGCATCACTGAATTAGGCGTTGCAATTGGAGGTTTGGAGTATATTTTGTCATTGCACAATAATCAGGTTATGCTTTCCCAAGATAAGCTGAAAAGCAATCCAAACCTCTCTGAGTCTGCATCTGTTAAACCTGTATATATTGATTTGTTTCCAAAATTGCGGGCCTTGTATTGTCAATACAAATCATGTGTGGCTTCAGCCCTTTCTGGCATTTCTACAGGAAATTCCATTCATCAAACTGCTAATATGATTTTAAGGATGATATACCAGAAGATAACCAAGGTCGGAATTTCTTCAAGTAATTCTTCATCGCCAACTAGCAGTAATGCATGTAGCTCTCTCATAAATCCAGGCGAAGATTCTTTTCAAAGACCTATGCTTCCTGCATGGGAAGTACTGGAAGCTCTTCCTTTTGTCCTTGAATCAATTTTAACTGCTTGTGCTCATGGAAGGATTTCATCACGAGAACTGACAACAGGTTGGCTAGATGTTACCTTTACTTTTCTATCAATCAAGTTTATTGCATCCATCAATTTAGTCCCACCTTTCTTGAGTCATGGTTGATTAAATCATGAAAAATAAATAATCTTTCTGGTTCCAATTATTTTTTATCAATATCATTTTTTGTACATGCTGAAGTTTTGCTATATGTCAAAGAGTTGTGTTCTAACTCCTGTTTAGTTTCATTAAGCCATCGTTGCTTTTAATTTTAATATTGTGATAATACTTAATTGGGAGGAGAGGTCACATCAAACTAGGGTAATTGGGGAGGACTGATACTTACTCAACTATTAATGTTACTAATAAATACTTAATCAGAAAATGTTGGCTGTTGGAGTCTAAGAAAAATGTTATTGGACAGAAGTACATGTATTTCTGGTGCTACCTTCATTTAATCACTATTATGCCATTCACATGCAGGTCTGAGAGACCTTGTTGATTTTCTTCCAGCGTCACTTGCTGCCATTATTGATTACTTTTCTTCAGAAGTTACTCGTGGTGTATGGAAACTAGTTCCAATGAATGGAACAGATTGGCCCAGTCCTGCAGCACTTCTTCAATCAATTGAATTGGAAATAAAAGCTATATTAACTCATGTTGGCGTTGAGGTTCCTAACTGTTCCTCTGGTAATTCTCTGGGTCATTAATCTAATGCACATGTTTGATTTATATGGAATTCTATCGAGTCCTACAAAAAATAGCATATGATACATGCAAATATAGATGGAATTCACACTAGGTACGGGCATTGCACAAACATTTTATATCTTGCCTAAAATAGTAGCCTTTGACCAGAATAATTTGCTGTTTTTTTCCCCCTCTACCTAAAGAGCAGCTTGATAGTATTCCTATTACCAAAGGAATATGAATCCGGTGTCTTGCTTATCAGCAGCAAATTCGATACTCTTTCTATTAGTGAGGCACTACTACAGCAATGTAGATTTTACATAGGTTGTAGTAGAACTGATGTAGTACGATTTTCTGGAATAACAAGAAACGTCCATTACCTATGCCACAAGCTGTACACATTCACATGGGCCCCTGTCCTGTCCATCACAACCCACCCAATCTCGCTTGATACTAGTTGTCACCACCACCCACAGTCGAAGTAGCTTGCCAACCCACCCAAAACCATTTTTTGGAACAACCAAAATCACCAGATCTGAAATTGCCTTAGATTTGAGAAACAGATATAGAGGTAACTTACACTATCCTCATGTTGGTTTGGTACTTGACCACCCCAATTGTCTTGCAAATCGTCATGGGGCTACAGGGGTTTTTGCGAGGGGTGAAGGCCCTTGGGTTGGGAAGGGGCTATGTTGTTGGGAGGCAAGAGGTGAATGAGAGCAAAGTGCTTTCCAAACATGGGTCAAAACACTTGGGTGTTGGGCTCAGGGAAAGGTGAAGACACTGGGTTGTGAGTGTTATGAGTTAGATATTTTCAGTTTTTACATCGGTTACATTTGTAATTTAAGTTGAAAGCATCTTTTACATCGATTTAAACCGATGTAAAAAATGTTTAAATCACTTAAATTTGTCACCGATGTAAATTATTCCATTTAATTACAAAATACTGCCCCTCTTTTATTTACATCAGGTAAACACCCTCTGTGAATAATGTGTTGTAGAATGTATATTTTGTTTTAGTGAGATTTAGACACTGCATCTGGTGCATGAGTGTATCTAGAAAAAAAAAATCAAGAAAACGGCCCTTGCTTCAGTTAATCGTGCTGCAGAATCCTCTTCTTCAGTGGAATATGGGGAGATTTAGTGAAATTCATCTAAACTCCATTGGGACAAAAGCCTAAAATATTTATAATGGCGTCAAGAATATGATATTGATTAAGAACTTTTGGTATAAACTAAATATATTAATAGCCGTGGCTTAGCTACTTGTAGCAGAATGAGATTTTGGGAATTCTTCAAATGCTAGGAAAAACCTGGAATGAAGAAGAGACTGTTATGGCCCCCTACACAGCCGCACTTACTTGCCTTGGAATAGGCTTACCCGCCCTCAGTATCCCTCCTTCCCCTCGTAGTCAAGTCTTCTGTATATCATCTCCTCCACTAATTTTCTCCTCAAACTCATCAGTCTCCCTGCGCTGTAATCAACACTTAAATTTTCAGCACCTCTCTGGTTATATAATCATTGTCATAATCTCTTATTGAAATTAATTTCTTACTCTCCCTTTTCTTCTTTCATATTCCTGCTACACATTAGTTTTCTGATTCTGTGACTGTTATTCCTCCTAGTATAGACGATGCTGTAGAGGTATATAAGATATACTTTTTTAAAGTTATATTGTTTTTGAGAGCTCACATCAATGCTAAATTTGCTATTTTTCATGAATGTAAATAATTTTGTTGTTTTAAAAAAAATGTTTAAATTAAAAAAAGTACAAAACATTCACCATATTAGAGGTCATTCAATGCTTTCAAGTCCTTGTTTTAATTGTTACATCATGGTAGTTTGTTATACAGTCTCATTTGTTAATAAATACCATTATTTTCCTTTACCATTCATTAATGAATTTTCAGTGGTAAACTCTCAATTTTATCAAACAGGTCTTAAACACGTCAAACGGTTGAAAAATGTTTATATTTATTGATTGACTTTGCTGAGACTGGTGAATATTTTTTAAGTAGCTGCTTCTTCCCTTGGCCAGAGAGCTCTTTAGATTTGAGTTGTTTGGCAAGACTGAGTAAATCTTTAAATGTTGTCGTAACTTTACACAGAAGGATTTAGGGGAATTCTCTTGAGAAACACTTTACATGGTGCAAACTGCTGAGTGAGGACTCATTTCATCCATATATGTGCTCGGGGGGGGGGGGATTTATCTGTAAATTTCTGACTTAATTGTTTTCTACTATTTTCTTTTAATTAATAGGGATTCATAAGATTAAACAATATGGTGATAGTTATTGTATTTGTATTGCTTACGAGATAAATCTTTGTTGTATGGTAGGCGGAATTTATCTGTAAATTTCTGACTTAATTGTTTTCTAATATTTTCTTTTAATTAATAGGGATTCGTAAGATTAAACAATATGGTGATAGTTATTGTATTTGTATTGCTTACGAGATAAATCTTTGTTGTATGGTAGGCGGTTCACAGGTAATGTTGCCTCTACCAATGGCAGCTCTGGTCAGTTTATCCATTACCTTTAAACTTGACAAGAGCCTGGAGTACATGCATGCTATTACTGGAGCAGCTTTGGAACATTGTGCATCTGGTTGCCCTTGGCCTAGCATGCCTATAATTGGCTCTCTATGGGCCCAAAAGGTTCGCCGCTGGCACAACTTCATTGTTGTATCAGGTTCCCGATCTGTGTTTAGACATAACAATGAATCTGTTGCTCAGCTGTTGAGAAGTTGTTTCACCTCATTCATTGGAACATTGTCTGTTTCAACCTCAAAGCTGACTGCTGAGTGTAGTGTTAATGGCCTGTTGGGTAGCACCATTACTGCCCCTGGTGCCTATCCTTATGTTGCTCCTGGATTCCTTTTCCTTCGATCTTGTAGAAATATACACAATGTGCAGTATGTAAACGATATAATTGTGGGTCTTGTGACAGAGTACTCTAGTGAATTAGCTGGCAGACGGTCGGGTGCTGGCTCTTGCCACATAAAATCCAATGAAGCATCACTGGCTGTGGCCGCTCAAAGTGCAAAAGAGGTGGCCACACTTGGTGCAAGTCTTCTATGTGCGGCAGGTGGTATGATACTGGTTCAGGAATTGTACAAGGAGACAATTCCTACCTGGCTGCTGTCGTCAAGGGATGTGAAGCAAAACAACGATAGTGTTGCGTCGTATGTACTTGAGGGTTATGGTATGGCATATCTGTTGATATTGTCAGGGTCAATTATTTGGGGTGTTGGCACCAAACTAGCACCGGGGACTTTCACTAGAAGGAGTCGTACCATTGAGGTTCATTTGGACTTCTTGGCAGAAGTCATGGAGAAGAAAATTTCACTCAGTTGCAATCCTATTACATGGAAAACTTACGTCTGCTGTTTCGTAGGATTAATGGTTAGTCTTGCACCTGTATGGGTTCATGAAGTTAAGTTGGATACTTTGAGGAAATTGGCGCGTGGATTAAGCAGATGGAATGAACAAGAACTTGCACTATCTCTACTACATAGAGGGGGCACGGCAGCTATGGGAGCTCTTGCCGAACTTGTCAATGTCATCGAGTCTGAACATATACTGCCGTCCTCATAATCGAACATGTATTAAGACTAAAGAATATATTAATATCCAAATTGCACAAGAGAAATACCAAGTTTACCCGTGTATTCTTCAAGTCAGATGGAATCGTAGTGCTCCATAAGTCTAGTATCAGAAAATTATTTTCGAAAAAAAATTGCTCATGAAAAATTTAAGTTTATGTTCTTGTCTGATATTTTTATATTGAGATGTTAAGTCTTTCATCAGTTCCATGTTTTGGTCAGACAGCACCAATTTACAGTGAGTTAAAGAAAAAAAAAGAAGGAAAATGATAGAAAGAGATTTTAAAGTTCCAAGGGAACACGGGAGCTACAGTACGCGCCAATTGTATCCATAGATTAGATTGTAATGTTTTATTGTTTTATGTGGAATTTAATTTAGTGGTCTTGTACATAATAGCTAGAACATTGCTACCTGCAATAAATCTTTCAATAAATCAATATTTTATGACGAGAAATTGTATTTGTAATAAATAAATATTTTGAATTTATAATAAACAATTTATAGTTGTACATATTAATTAAAAAAAAAATCATGTTCAAGCTGAGGTTAATTTTTACGTGTACAATCACTTTTATTTAAAAAAAAAATCATTTACTTTGATTGTAGGATTACTTGAATAAAATGTAGGAATGCCAGAAAATAAAATATGACATGGTTAATGTAGGAAAAGGTTGGATAAAAATATCTTTCATAAATCGATTCATTGAAGTGCAAGTATTTTAGAGGATAGAGGATGGATGCATGAGAAGAAAAATGAAGCAATGATAAATCTGAGTTAAAAGAAAGTTCAAAAAATTATGAATTTTCTTTTAGGACTGAGTCGAGTTTCCTTAAATTTATTATTAGATTAAAATAGTTTAAATTGAGTTGAATTGAATTTTATCTTCACTAAATTCAAACCGAACTAACTTAATTGTTTGTAAGATAAGTTGATTTGTGTTAATGAATACTAAAAAATAAAGATTATTTTTAACTTTAAGAAAATGTTATTTTTCTTTCATTGATATATTTTTTATATTACTTTTTGAATATTTATATTATGTATGTATTTTGATTAACTAATGCATTTAAGTAAAATTAATCAGTTTAAATTAAAAACAAAAAAACAAAAAACTGATGGAAAGATGAAAAAGCTTAAGTATCTTTGGGCAAGAAAGTTGGGGCGAACAAAGGAGGAAGAAAAATATGTTAAATATATGACTCTCTTTTTTTATAAAAATATATAAATATAAATTAAAGACCCAGCTTGATAAATAACAAGTTTTATTACATTGATTTGAATATGAACAAAAACATTAAAAATATTTAAGTCATAATTAAATAGGATCGTGCCGATTTGGATTCATGATATTCATACCCATCAGTGTAATACTACTACTAATAATAAATAAATAAATCATGACATCTTTACACAAAAGTTATATTATTATTTATGAACTTAGAAAAAAAAGTTAAAATGGTTGTTTATAGTATAAAGTTATATAGTGAAATTTGTAATAAAGATATAATGAAAATATTGTGATGCTAAACGACATTGAATAAATTCAAGTCCAAAAATGATCTTCTAATTATCTTAGTAGATCAATTTTTTCAATAAGAAACCATTATCGGCATCAACTATAATAATAACAAATGTCTCTAAAAATTAATCCCTTTTAGTAAGAAATCTTAGATTTTACTAAAATTTTCAGAATAACAATAAGTTTTTACATAGTTCATAGCTCTAGTAGAATATTCTCCTCAATATAAAAACTAGGTTTAAACATATATCTATCTAGAAAAAAAAATGTTTTATGAAGTTAACATATCACAAAATAATGATCATTTGACAAAACATTTTTCCATTATGATCACAAAATAACAATTTTTATGAAATGATCATTATTTTGGATGTGCTAAACCACATAAATTATTTCCAATAAGGATATATTTTTTTAATTTTGCTAAAATCTAAGTCAAATAAAAAAAAGATAAATAAATTTAGATGACGATGTTTGTAAAAAAGTTATATTACATTTGCAATTTTCTTGTTTTCTGAAAAAAAAAATATAAAAATGTCTGATTTTTACTATATAAAAATATATAATAAAAAAGCATGTAAAAGATGCAGTGTGAATATTGTCATTATCATATATGGAGGTATAAGAACAAAACAAACCCTTTTATTTGTATTTCACTCTATCATCTAATTCTTGATAAATTAAGGTAAATAGTTTTCATCGAGATGAACGTATCACTAAAAACCATTCAATATTTTATTCTTATGATTTTAGTAGAACACTTCAAACCTCTTCTATTTATTTTGAAGATAAGAAACCATAACCTGTTTTTTTGTCTGCTTTTTTTTTTTATTATTATCTTGTATATGTTGCTTTGAAAATTTTAATAATTTTTTACTAGATTAATGTTATAATTTTATTGATCTGAATTAAATGTAGCAAAGACTTTCTGAATATATTGGGCTATTGGTAGTCATGTGTATTATTAACAAGTGCTACGATTTGTAATAATCGTTTATTGCTATGAAACCTATGATATGATCGACAGAGAAGTTGTTTTGTTGAAATGGTGAGAATGGAAGGAAGAAGGCGTGGAGGTTGCAGTGGTCGACGCATAGTGGCTAGCAAAAGAGGGAGTGGCAATGGCAACGCCAACGCCAATGGCATCACCACCAACACCATCAACAACAGCAATAACATCAGTGTCATCAAGAAGCTTCAAACCCGCGAGATTTGTTCGAAGCCTCATCGTGCTTTTGCCTCAGCCACTTCCCCTCACAGATTCCGTACCATGCGCTTGACCCACTATTATGACTCTCATGATCCCTCCAAGTCTCGCTCTTCCCTTTTGCCCTTCTTGTTGAAACGAACTAAAGTTGTGGAAATTGTTGCTGCCAGAAACCTGATTTTCGCTCTCTACCATTCTGGGCTATGTGCAGCTTTCAGTAGAGGTGAGGTTTCCCTTAAGGACCTTGATTCTTGATTTCTGGGTTTGAATGCCCATTGTCCATTGCTCGTTTGTTAATCATCGTCATACTTGTGTAAAAATCTAAATTTTTTTATCTTTTGATACTCTCATATATGTAAGCCATTACCCATTAATTAGTCATTGTCATGTTTTTCCTAAAAACCATAACTTTTGATTGATTCTTTGAAGTGTGAATTGCTATTGTCCATTACTCATTTGTTAATCATGAGCAATCTTGTGTAAAATCCTGAAATTTTGATTCTTTGCTGTATGAATTGCCATTGCCCATTATCAAGTTGTTAATGATGGGCATATTTATGTAATAATCAAAACTTTTTATACTTGTATGAAATGCCATTGCCCTTTACTCATGGTTAATCACGTCTATGTAAAAACCTTATGTTTTGATTCTCCATGTATATTGCCCATTACCCAATTACTAGTCATTGTCATTTTTATGTCTAGATCTAAACTTTTGATTGACCCTTTCATATATGAATTGTCATTGTCCATTACCCATTTGTTAATTGTGTGCACTGTTGTGTATAAACCTAAATTTTGGAGTCTTTCATGCAGGAATTGCCCTTGCCATTTAATCATTTAATTCTTTCATCTATGAATTGCCAATGCCCATTTGTTGATCATTGTCATATTTGTGATAAAAAACCTCCACTTTTTATTCTTTCATGTAGGAATTCTCATTGCCCACTACTACCCATCTATTAGCCATTGTCATATTTGTATAAAAACCACAAATTTTGATTGTTTTCATCTATGAATTGTCATTTCCCATTATCCATTGTTAATCATTGGAACATTTGTATAAAAAACTACAACCTTCTTTTCATGTATGAGTTTCCATTGCCCGTTTGTGTGAAAACCAGAGCTTCTTATTCTTTCATATATGAATTGCCATTTCCTATTACCCAATTGTCAACCATTGGCACATTCGTATAGAAACTGTGACTTTTTATTTTTGCTTTTATAGTCTGGATTGCCTTTATCCATTACCCATTTTTTAATTATTATCATTGTTTGTACAGAAATATGTTCTTTTTTCGGGTATGAATTTCTGTTTGGCACTACCACTCTATTTATTAGTTATTGTACACGTGCCTTTATGCATATGAATTATGATTATAGCATTATGGCTTCCCATTCATTAGTTGTTGTCTTTTGTACACAGACCATATTTTGTATGAATTGGCTATCACTTCCCATTCGTTAGTTATTGTCAAATTTTATAGAATTCATGACATTGGAGTTTTGTGTGTGAATCGTTGCAGAAACTGATGAGAGGATTTGCTTTTTGAATGTCTGCCCTGATGAAGTCATCCGCAGTCTCTTCTTCAATAAGAACAACGACTCGCTTATTACCGTTTCTGTTTATGCTTCAGAGAACTTCAGCTCTTTGAAATGCAGATCCACAAAGATTGAGTGAGCGCATTCTATGACTTTTCTTTCAAATCCTCCTTTTTGATGTGGGAAACCAATTTTGATTACATGATCTTTTATTTTCATTCTTAGATACATACGGAGGGGCACCCCAGATGCCGGGTTTCCTCTTTTCCAGTCTGAATCATTGAAATGGCCTGGATTTGTAGAGTTTGATGATGTCAATGGAAAAGTCCTGACCTACTCGGCACAAGATAGGTACCTTCCTCATTCTATTATCTTTCTATTCCACTTCTACGGTTTTGAAAGTGTTTACACTGCTCATTGGTTATTCTATTTAACACACTTTGTTCCTATGGTGTCAGTATTTACAAGGTTTTTGATCTCAAGAACTATACCATGCTATACTCAATTACGGATAGTCATGTTCAAGAAATCAAGATCAGGTACTTTCTCTTTCTCATCTGACATTCTGTTTCACAGTTTCAGTTTCTGCAAAAGCCCTATTTACTGAATAAGTTATGTCAAGTCATGAGCATGGTCATGTTGCAGTAATTTGATCCTATTTGTTTGTACCTCTTGCTGCATAGTTATCGTTATGTTGTTCACTGGTAAAGAATATTCAGGTTCTTATTTTTTGGCTGATGGTTGGGTTGGTTATAACATTGAGAAACCTAAATGACTCAGTTCAGCTTTTATTGACAAGGTTTTAGTGAAAAAAGGGTTTTCCATCAGATGAATAAGTTGGATATCTGCATGTCTCACATCTAGTACCTTTGGTCAATGGAGAGCTAGAAGCTTTGTTTCACATTCAAAGGGATGTGTGGCAAGGAGATGTATTATTTCTTTCTTTGTCTACTTTGGTGGTTGATGTTCCACTGTCTTATTTCCAGATCAATTGTGAGCCGCAGGTGCACTAAAGGAACCATAATGGGCTTAGAAGGGGTAGTACTGTTGTAGTTTGTCATTTGCAGTTTGCTAATGGCATCAAAATGATGTGGGTAGTATCATGATTGCTCTCTCTTCTTTCCGTTGAAGTTCTGGCATGTTGTTGGATTTGTAGTGACCTCTAGTATCATGATTCCTCTCTCTTTTTCCATTGCATGTTCTGGCAATCACCTTTTCTTTCATCATTCTCATTCCTCGTTCATGGATTTCTTTGATGTCATCCCTGCAATACGGCTTCATGTTCAGATGCATGGAACCTCCACTGACAAAATTATTTCCTTTGCTCCCCTAATTGTGTCCTCTTTGTCCTTTCAAAAGATCAAGGCATGTGTAATTCTTTAGTAAGTTTTATAAAAAACAAAATTTCATCACAACAGAAACTTAATCTCCATCATACCTTTTTTGAATGCCATCCTCTATTTGCTTCTGAACCTAGCATTTCTTATTTTCCAGCATTAGAGATGCTGAATGCCAGCCACACTAGGCATGCTGGTGTGCTGCTTGAGGACATTGACCATTGTTACCCAGTGCTTGATTTGTGTCTGTTCTCCCAAAAAACTGCTCTTGGGTCATGACCCATTTGCTATTATGTGCCCAGCAATTAGAAGCTTACCCAATCCACGAGGTTGACATGTCATGAATCCGAACCAGTACCTGTTGACATCACTTCTAATTTTCCACAACTGCTTCACTATGGGACCAAATTCACTTCAAGACTGGCTCCTTCATTCTTGTCCATTTTTCTTCCTCTCAAACACCAACAGGCCTTACAGCTATGCCCATCTTTTGGCTTCTTTTTTGTCTCCTTCTATGTAAATGGATTAGCTCATCAATAGGCTAGCAGGAGTTGCTAATAATATAAATGATTTGAAAGATCTATTCCACATGGTTATTCATTTTAGTCATTGCCTTCTTGGAGGACAATTGGATATTCATCTTTTTAGTTTGACTTTACCACAACTTATCACCTACCACCCTTACACAATATAATCTTGGGTCTCCTCTACTTTGTTCTCTTGTTTCTTAGTCTGGATAAAGGGATATTGTCTCTTAATCTTTTTAGGTTATTTTTGTACGAATATTTTTTTCAATTACAAACTCATTGAATATAGGTAGTATATCACATTGATAAACCTGTTTGTAAGTCCATAGCCCCCTCTAAGGTTAAGTCCTTTATTTGGACTATGGTGCACACGAGAAGTCATACCAGTGACATCACAGGTTTAAAGGCTAAACAAGGCTTAATGTGTTTGGTGCTAGCTTAAAATCTTTTTATACCTATTTCTTTGTTGAGTTCTTTTTATTTTGTCATTTTTGTTGAATGCTAGGTGATTCCCAGGTATTTGAACCTTTATTTCGTACGCTAGCTATACTGATTTTGGTAGAGGTAGAGAAGCCATATTTTTGTGGAAACACAGTGTGCTAACACTTGGGTGAATTTAATTAGAGAGTAATTATCTCATCTTTAAGTAGATCTACTTGGTATAAAGTAGGTGATCTTTTTAAAAGGAATCTCTTACTCCTCTCCTGGTTGTTACTTTTCCTATATACTTATTACTTGTTGTTTTGTTACAGTCCTGGCATCATGTTATTAATTTTCAATAGAACCAGCGGTCATATTCCCCTCAAGATTATATCCATTGAGGATGGCACAGTTCTCAAAGTATTCAACCATTTGCTTCATCGGAATAAGAAGGTGGACTTCATAGAGCAATTTAATGAAAAGCTTCTAGTCAAGCAAGAAAATGAGAATCTTCAGATTCTTGATGTGAGCTTCATTTTCCCCTTTTCTTGTAATGTTTGTCTGAAAAAGGATTTACGTACTCATGGAGTAAATCATGTCTAATTCCACATAATAGCTTTCTATGTACCTTTAATTTTATTAATCTAATCATTAATTTTGAGAGTTCTGATTTAGTAGTTGAAGTCTATAAAATTTTATATCATTAAAAAGTCGTTTAAATTAAGTAGATCCCTTTCCTAATTATTTTCATGTCTGGTTCTGTGATTTGTTATGTTTCTAGGTTCGAAATGCTGAGCTGATGGAGGTAAGCAGAACAGAGTTCATGACTCCATCAGCATTTATCTTTCTGTACGAGAATCAGTTGTTCCTTACTTTCAGAAACCGAACAGTTTCTGTTTGGAATTTCCGAGGGGAGCTTGTCACTTCATTTGAGGATCACCAGTTGTGGCATCCAGATTGCAATACCAACAACATATACATAACAAGTGATCAGGATCTCATTATCTCTTACTGCAAGGCAGATTCTGATGATCAATGGATGGAAGGCAATGGTAATAATGTTTGAGCTTAGTTTTCCTTTGATTTCTGAATGGAGTAATCAAATACCTTTTATTTTGTTAATGTGGTCTTACATCTCTATCTTTTTCTCTTGGCATAGCTGGCTCAATTCATGTCAGCAATATCTTGACTGGGAAATGTGTGGCCAAAATTAATACAACAATTAGTTGTGCCAAGGCAGACGAGTGCAGCCGCAATGGGTGTAGCTGCAGGGAAAGTCTTTATCCATGCCTAATGAGGAATTCAGTTACAGAGGCTTTGGAGGACATCACTGCCCTCTTTTATGATGAAGATCGGAATGAGATCTATACCGGTAATAGACATGGTCTTCTTCATGTATGGTCAAACTAATGAATTTTCATGTTTCTTCTGGTGCCATGGGCCAAGCAACACCATGTTTGGGTTTTTTTTTATGATGGAACTATTTCAGCTTTGGACTCCATGCTGCCTCAGCATTGTAACATTAGTTTATGCAAAACTATATTCTAGGAGTCTGCATTGTGGATTTCATAGTTTATGCAGAGGTAACCATTTAAAGTGTTTCAGGAAAACTTGATATATATGCTTTCCTTAGGCCCTTATAGTTTCTGTATAGTAAATCACTGCTGAAAATTGAGGCAGATGAGACATATTACATGTATTAAGTTTGTCCTGAAATTCATGGGAGTACAATGTCGGATGGAAACAAAAAGGGCATATTTTATGGAGTTTTTATACCTTATCTATGTCATCTCTATAAATCTGTTTCTCATTTTAGTTTATTGCGTTTTCTTAGAATGAGTGGGAACATAGGCCCTATGAATCTAGACTTGATCTTCCATTCCCTAGTTGCCTATATTTTTTTACATTTTTCTTTCAACTTAGACCCTGCAATTTTTTTTGACACAATGGAAATTTGAATGCTTTGGGGCAATAACCATATTATTAGGTGGTTTTATGTTGCACCACTTTATGTGTCATTAGATTGATTTGGTCTCTACGGTAGAATGATACATCATCTACACCATAACATAACTTCTCATCCTCTCTAGTGCCAGTGGTCACCACGATTGTTGTCATCGAGCACCATTTGTCAATGTCAACCATTTTTTTTTACCGTTGATCACTGTCGTTTGAAACAGTTTCCGGCAATAGTGTATCATCCACACTATTCTTCCTTCCTTTGTAACCCCTTGTTTTACCATTTGGCTCCACCAAAGAAAAATTCAAGAACCAAAATAGCTATCAACCAAATAACGCTTCAAACTTAATAAATCCCATCACAGGAACAAAATAAACACATCCATGGAAAGTCACAGGAGAACAAAAATTTTAGCTTGTCAAATCAATTCATGAGTGAAGCTTCCTCCTAAACTTAATAAAAGACTCAAATTTGGACTTTGTACGCCAACATTGTGGAAATAATTACATATCCTTAGTCATTCAACTTCTTTAGATAAATTGCAGAGAGTTCTAAACACCACGGAGTAAATTCTAATTGGATTGGAAGAAACTGGAGATTAGTAATATTGACAATAGGCTCAACTAAAGGTCTTCATTTGGAGGAAATGAAGTCCCTTATGCTGTCATCTTCTTGAAGAAATTCAACCCTCTTTATCCCTGCTTCTGTTACACTTGATAAGATGGATGTGGCTTTGTTTCTTCACATCAAACAGATAGCTGAGGTTAATGTCACATGGCAATTAAACAACTGTTTTTGTCATATCTATTCAATATATGTAATTTGAAATTTGAGTTTTTTACTTTGGTATTATGTTTTTTACTTATGCTAAGTATATTTAGTTTATGGAAATATGCTTCTATTTTATTGTAGTCCTTAATTTTTTTTTTCTTGATATAGGGTTTAGTTCTTATCATTATCATTAATTATGACTAGCTTTAGCATTAAAATAGAAAATATTAATTGAGATGATTAAAGTAATAGAAAATATTTTAAATAAAGTAATTAGAATATCTTCATATGCATAATTCAATTAAGTCAATTAAGTGATGAATTTAAAATTTTATGAAATGAGATAATTGTATTTAATTTTTACTTCTAATATACTATTAATAGTGATTTTTTTAATAATAGTATATTTACTTTTTCATTCAATAATTTACTCATTATAATTTTTAAAAATTATAATTTATTTAGATGTTGTAATAATAATAATTACTCTTTTCCTTCTATCCGTCCATAAGTAAAAAACTAATATTGTTCAAATATATTAAATATATTTTAATTATTCTTTATGTTTAAAACAATAAATACATTTAATCTATCATGTAATATGCTGAAAATATTAATTATGATATAATTAAACTATTATTTAAGAAATATATTTGAATATATATATATATATATATATATATATATATATAAATGTTATTCTAAATTTGCAATAAGTAATTCAATTTATGATGTAAGAGTATTTTAGTTATGCACGACTCTTTTAAAAACATAATTGAAATTTAATTTAGAGAGAACAATAAAAGGAGGATAATTGAGAGTTTTTTTACTAGTTAAAAGGTTAATGCATGAAATGTAATCCCAAAGAAAATATCTAAAACGTCTGAATTTTAAATTGAGAATTCTAATGTATAATAGAAGAATAATTTTGTAATTTAAATTACGATATAATTTATATATTGAAATAATTATTTCTTAAGAAATTAAATTATATTAAAATAAATATCTATGTTATGCAATATAAATTTTATCTATATGTCATGCAATGTTTATAACTTAACGCAGACGGTTTAAAACTTGAATTAATTCAAATATTTTATTATTTGATGAGTGAATAAAAAGATAATTGTTTAAATTAAAAGTTTTGATTGAAGCTTGTGGATGAAGACTATATACTATAATCTAACTTAGACAAAAAAGTGTTAAGCAAGTATATAAGCTAAGAATCTTTCAATCTTGATGAGGACTAAAGAGCATAATTATGTCATGTTGTTAATGGTATTGGATTCCCTTCATCACTGTCGTTGGGTACTTCACCAAAAGAATAATTAAAAAAGAAAAAGTCTTGCAACAAGTTAAAATTATTTTATGCGTAAATTAAAAACACAAATTTAAAAAGTTACATAAAGTTTTTCAAAAGCTAATCTGTATAGAAACTAAATTTATTTCAATTTTATTTCTGGAAATTTTGTATGAACAAACCTCGTTAAACCATATATAAAATTCTAATTTTAGTAAAATTAACGGTTGGTATGCATTGTTTGATTATTTTATTGCTTTTAATTTTTCTACAACTTAATATTAGATATAAAAAATATAAAAATGGCACATCTGTGAAAAGTGGCATATTTGTGAATGTTAGGGTGATTTTTTCTATGAAAAGTACAAAAACTTTTTTACTTCAACCAATTGCAAGAATGATTTAGAGATGAGCAAGCTAAAATTCCTGACTCAGTTAAAAGAAAGTGTCAAAATGGCATTCATTAGTTGGTACTGTTCTGTCATCTGCAGACTGAAATTGGAAACCCAAAGAACAAAACCACCTCACATGTATGTGTAGGGATGAAAAATTTTCAATTATTTGAGAGCTGTAATCTACAGCTTTCCCTGTATTTTTGCAGAATATAATACCTCATCTAATGGTTCCTACTAATCAACTACTTCTATGAGAGTTTGCTCATAGTCGCTGGGAGCCTCAAATCCATGAAGATTAATCACAGTTGCAGCAACATTGGCCAAACCACCGGATGGAACATCATTGCGGAATCTGACACCAGAGATCAATCCAGGACCTCCAATAGCAATTGGCACCTTAACCACAAGCAAGGAAAAGTATGAGATTTAAAACCAAAACTAAGGTTTATGTCCACTAATGACAATGTCTAAGTATTTAAAAGATTCCAATGTTTCTAGTCATGCATCCAAATTAACTTTATAATTGCACTTGTGGAGATCCCACAAGTTATCCATAACTCATTGAAATTTGACAGTAGAGAATGTTGTAATTCATGTCAACTTTGTAATCAGAGACTGAGATAATTTGTAGAACTTACAGGCTCAAGAGTGTGGGAAGTAAGAATCTGGATTTTTCCATCCTTGCCTAGAAGTGGCTTTCCAGATTTATCCCTCTTGACCATATCCTCTGCATTTCCATGGTCAGCGGTGACAACATAGATTCCACCCACTTGCTCTATTGCATCCAGAATCATCTGCATTTATACAAGTAAATATACATTAATCAATACAATTAGCAGGTATTTAACCTTCACCTCTCTTTTTTGTTTCTTCATAGCGGCAATTGTGTAATTGGAGTATAAAGCTATTTGATAAGCTAACCAAATCTACTGAAAAAGCTCAATAATTTGTATTTATAAAATAATGACAAGAAAAAGACAAATTGCATTTGTGAATGCTTGCAACAAGAAAGGGGTAAAAAGATATATTTCTTTTCTAAGAGACAATGAGGACTGGTGGATAGGAGATATAGGTACAGACGATCTGAATACCTTAGATGACCAACAATCTACCAAAAAACCTTAGGGAAGGAACTTGAATCCTCTAATTTTAGTTCTTAACTGTTCATACAAATCAAACAAGATTCATTCCTCTCATTTATCATATAAGAATAGCTTTTTCACCAAATAATGCTATTAAAAACCATATGCAATACATGAATGTTTTCAAACTTTAAGCGCTTACTTTCCCTCATGAAATAGAAATCTTTAGTGAAATAAGGAATTACCGAAAATCTCAGCCTTAGTTTAGAAAGATTATAATATACTTTTATTTACAAACAAACGTGAAAATTAAGCTTCATACCTTCACAGCCTCATCAGCTGCCTTGCAAGCCACAACTGTTGCCTCAATGTCACCTGTATGCCCCACCATGTCACCATTTGGTAGGTTGACACGTACCTACGCAACAGATGAAATAAGAGAGTAAATAACAGAACATGATTCCCAAAATCACCTAATAAACCATTTAATTACCTGATCAAATTTCCGGCTAAGAATAGCATCCCTAGCCTTTTCAGCAATTTGCAATGCTTTCATTTTTGGTTGTTCATTGAATGTAATCCCAGAGTCACTAGGAATTTCCACATATTCCTCCAATTCTGCATTAAAACACCCAGACCGGTTTCCGTTCCAGAAGAATGTGACATGACCAAATTTAACAGTCTCACTGTTGACAAAAAAATTCATCCAGGTGACTGTGATGGCTATCATGTAACAGGTAAATACTTATAATGAACATAGTGACTTCTAATGTATTACACAATTCCCATCATTCACCACCAATAACAAAAAAAGCAGGTAGAAATATTATGGACACAGATTACAATATTATGAAAAATCCTATAAATGATAGAATTGAGACAATTTACCTGCAAGCAAAAGTCCGAATACCATTATGCACCAAATATTCACCAGAAGTCCTATCAATCTCTGGTGGAGAAACAAGGTAATGACTGGGAAGTTTCAATTCACCATCATATTCAAGCATTCCAGCATAGCGGATTTTTGGAAAACGCACTCGGTCAAATTTGTCAAAATTTTCATATTCAAGAGCCTTTGCAATCATGACCATTCGATCAGCTCGGAAATTGAATGTAACAACAGCATCACCATCAACTATCGGACCAACAGGTTTCCCACTCTCATCAACGATAACAAAAGGATGCAGATACTGGTCATTGGCCTTTGGTTCTGCCCTCAGCGTCTTGACAGCTTCAAGAGCACTTTTAAACTTATAAGGGGCTTCACCAAGAACTTGAGCATCCCATCCTCGTTTCACAACATTCCAGTCATTCTGCAGTTTGTTTTGAAAACAGTGAATCATAAGTAACAGGAATACACACAAAAAAAGCAAAAAAAAAAAAAAATCAGGTCAACCACATTTATTTGCTGTATAGAACAATATGAAATTGAAACACAACCATATATGATATCGCAACTAAAAGAAATTAAATAATAAAGATTTAAAAGCAATTTATTTTGTTTTTGTTTGTCAAATGTCAGAGGTAATATGGAATTTCAATAGATCAGATTTCTTAACATCTTTCTCTAGTAGGGGATGCATTACAAACAAAATCTGTATAGTGGGAATACATTAACAAAAGACGCCTGAGTTATACAAATTGAAGGCCATTTCCAGGTAACTATACCTCATAACGATCCATTGTGACATTCATACGACCTCCACCTGATGCTATCTTTGCATCAATACCCTTCTCCCTCAATTTTGCAAGATCATCTTCAAGGGTTTCAACAAACCCCACACTAGAGCCATCCAAAACATCACGGCCATCTGTAAGAATATGGACACGTACTCTTTTAACACCTCGCTCACCAACGCCTTTAAGCAACAACTGTACAAAAATAGCTAGTTAGAAGTTATAAATTGTATACACATGAAGGAAAAACAGCTTCAACCCCAAATAATCACCTGCAACTGATCAAGTCTGGAGTGAACTCCACCATCACTCAATAACCCAATGAGATGTAATGTGCCATTTGCAAAACTTTCCTTAATGTAATTGAAACCTTCTCCTTCAAATATTTTTCCAGAGGCCAGAGCAAGGTCGACAAGCTTGGCACTAAAATGAACAATAACAGACCAAGATGTCTCAATCATCAGATATGCTGGGAATAATTTTGAAACAAAAAAAAAAGACTGAATAGTATATGTAATAGGGAAGACCATAACTAAACATTTCAAGCTGGTAAGCGAATAATTATAAATCCCAATTCCACTGAAGAAGTGACTTGAAAAACTTAACTAAACATTGTGAACCCAAACTTGATACAAATTCCTGGGGAAAAGTGACACAAGACAAAACCACAACCATGTTGTTGATTGTTGTATTACATCCTAAAACAGATTACACAAGTATCTGGAGCACATTTAACCCTATCGATCACATACATTTATGATAATTCAAGAAACAATGCAGAACAGACAAATGTTTTGTTCAATCCAAGACATAAAAAAAATGGCAGGCATCGCTAAACAAATACAAATGGTCACAAGAAACAAGATCAGCTACGGCTCATAGCTATTGTAAATCTAGAAACGCCAGTAACACAATTCAAGAAACATAGAATACAAGCTGTCACAAAACACCAGTAAATCTAAAAGCAAACATTTCAGCTTATTTCCAGACAGCAATTAGTTCTAAAAAACCGCCACACAGTACATGATCACGATTCCTACTAACTGCTAGTGGTAGTAACCAAAATTTTAAAAATGGTATGCGAAAGTGATTTCAGCTTTGGCTCCATAGGCCAGATCGGGTCGCAATCTCCCGCAATATCATAAAAACACAAAATAACCGCAACCTCAGTTCAAAACCTTGGCAGTAACAAATACATGGAGTTTAAATGGATGAAAAAGAGAGGCTAGTTCTAGTTTACCCCTGCGCAAATATGCGACCAGCTCCAAGGGCATTGTGACCAACTTCACTATTGCCCATGTCATCTTCTGTTGGAAGGCCTACAGCAGTGCCATGCGCCCTAACCAATCTCCACCTTTCGGGGGCACCCTGTAACACAATAACAGTCCTGATTAATTTCATCTAATCCCCCCGCCCCCCCAAAAATAAACTTTTTCGTCTCCTCACAGGTATCTTCCTTTGGAGGCAACCTGTTCACAAAACTATCATACACTAAACATAAACACCTCATGGAACGGAGCTTCGAACCTTGGTTCGCCAACTAGTCACTATTGCTAAACCCAACCCCAATCGGTTAAATAACAATAGATCTTGAAATCTATAAACAAATATTGGATCCAAAAAGTGAAAAAATTGAACCTTTTTAAGGGAATCCATGCAGGGTGTCTCAGCGGTGGAGATGCAGTTGTACTCGTTGGGCTTGGCCTCTCCCCAACCATCCAACACCACCACAGCCACTGTCTTCCCCTTTGGAAGCTTTGGATGATCCGCCAATTTCCATGAGACACCTGAGCTACCCATCTGCGCTTTCTCCTTTCTTTCCTATCAGATTCAGATTCAGATTCAATAGAAAAACCAAATACACATCATTCACATTCACTAATAATCATTCATCACCCATCTGGGCTGTGGTCCTTTTATATCTTTCCTAACAGATTCAATGATAAATCTAGATAAACACAATTAAAATACAATAATAATCATTCAAACTATGAAAAAAACGTCATAGTTTTACGATGTTACACAAGACCATTTGTACGTACCTGTTTGGTTCTCGGTGTGAGCCGCAACTAACAACACAAATGTCACAGATGTAACCTAACAAGACCGAACCCTGTGTGTTTTGTCTGTGTTGTGTGGTTTGGTGTGTATATAAATACAACGTTGATGCCTAACAGTTAGTAGAGTCTAGTAGCATAGTTTTTTTTTTTTTTTTTTGCTTTATTGGAAAAACAACAGGTAGGCACGTGAATCCTGAGAGAAGTTCACGAATTACCACCAGAAGAGGAGAAGAAAAAGGAAATCAAAACAGAATTTAATTTAAATATATTAATGTAAATAGTTAATCATTATTATCATTTTTCTATCTTACATAATAATTCGTGTAATATGTTGATCATTGAAATATTTATATTAATAATAATGTATAAAATTAAACCTAAAAATAGTTACGAATTGCATTAATTTTAATTGAATTGGATGCATTTGTATTGTAAGAAAAAAATATAAATTGTTATATGCAATTTATCTGTTTATCATGGTTTAAATTTTAAATGATTATTAGGATTACAAATTATTTGGGTTAACTCATTCTTATGTATTAGTTTATAAGAGAAGTATTTTGTTTATTGTAATGAGTTTCAAAAACTTGAAACTATAACCACTAATCAAGCAGAAATAATTTTACGTGAATTGAGTAACATATTTAGTGATAAAAAAAGTATTTAAACGTTATAAAAAAAAGCATTCTTATTATATTTTTTATTATAACATATTTTTAGAGAGGCTTAATTTTAAAATAAAAGTAGATTTTAATATCATGTTAGAAATGAATTAAACTTAATTGACACTCAAAATTTCGGTTTTAAAAAAATAATATCATCTACCTTTTATTCTTTTTTCAAATAAATTTTAAAGAAATAAAATGACCATATTTGTTTTATTTTGTTTTAGTTGAAAAATATTTTAATAAATGGATCTCCAAATTACTTTAAATTATATACATTTGAGGCGAGTTTAAAATATTTTTAGACTAGAGCATATGGAATATTCGTTTGGTATATTCGCGATATAAAAGAGGGACGATATTTTGTATTGCAGATCAGCGTGCTCTGTTACTTCATGCTGCCGTGGTAGGTAAACACCTCATTCTCCACGCTTCGTTTTTTTTTTTTTTTCAAAAGAATTTTTTGTTTTTTTGTTTTTTTACAACCAGGTATTACCATTAATTTTAGAAAAATATTTTTTATATTTATGAATTATTTTCAGTAATAATTATCTAATGCTAAATAATGAGATTGTTTTAAAACATTTTGCGTCAAACAATAATAGGGTCATTTGCATATAAAGATATAAGTAAATATAAATTAGTTATATACGGTAATAAATATTTAATATTTAGATACTGAGGATGTTTTCAAAACAGTGTAAGATGTTGATGGTTTTTGACCTGGCAAATTTGAAAAGAGAACGAAAAAGTAACGTTTTTATTTTTCTTTTTCTTTCATGGTAGAGTTATAGTAAGACGTGCCTAAAATTGATTGTTCATGATTATCGTTTAAATCTTTTTTTTTTTTAATCGAATTGGTCACTTAAACTGTTATTTCTAAATAATTAAATTGAAATAAAATTGTAAAAATCACTTAAATTTTTTGAATGAATCAATTTTGATAAAAAAAACATTAAACATCATTTTTTAATAATATTTTCATAAAAATAATATTTTTTTATTATTTTATATTAATTACATAATTTTAAATAATTATTATTTTATTATATTTGTATCTTATTTTAACTATTATTATTTTATATTTTTTAATATATTTTATATTTATAATTTTTATTACAATTTATGATAATAATTTTTATTAATTTTTTTAAATAATATTATTTATTATATATTTGTTATATTAAAAATATTATTTTATTAAATACGATGGTAGCCATTAAATTTTCATATTTTTCACTTTGTTACATCTAAAAATATAAGAGTGTCCGAAGTTAAGTTATTGTGATATAACAATTATTTTATTTTAATTTAAAAATTAAATTGAATGCATATATTTTAAAAAGATCAATTTACTATTTTACAGACTTAATTATAACAATGTTTTATCTCTTGACCTTCGTCTTATTCCCTCAAAACCAAAACCTTAACTACTGCCGCCAAGAATCAGAAAAGCTCCTATGAAGAAAAGAAAAGAATAATAATTATCTTTTAATTTGTATATGATTTTAATATTATAAATAACTTTAATATAATTAGTAATTCTTAAAAATATAAAACATATTTTTATTGATAAAATCCCTATTTATGGTATATTTAAAAATAATTTGTTCTACAATCATTCAGCTGTCAAACTTAATATATAAAAAATAAATTTGAAATTCTTAGTAAACTATAATTAATTTAAATAAAAGTATATTGTTAAAATATAAATTAGTGATAAAAATAAAAATAATATATGTATATATCTACAATCATCTTATTCATGTTAACTAAAAAAATATATATCATTTCATCAAACTAAGTATATTTAAAAATTTAAAGATGGAAAAATGGAAAGATAAAGGAATACTATTCTTCTTCTCCAAATTCCCAAATGCTTACGGTGCAAGGGACATATGAAAAATTTGTACAAGATGGGGAAGGGTTATTGATATATTCATATCCCAAAAGAGAAATAAACTTGGTCAATGTTTTGATTTTGTGAGATTCGCAAATGTGGGAAACGTCAAGCAAATGAAAAGAAACCTAGATGGTATTTGGATTGGATCAACAAAGATGTGTGTTAACATACCCAGATACAGGAGACACAAACTTCAGTCAAATCGGGCGAATATAGAACCAAAAGTCACTACAAGAAAAATCAAAATTTCCGACGGACAAAATCCGTCGGTAAGTAATAAAATCCGTCAGTAAATAGATATTACCGACGGATTATCGACGGGCCTAAATCCGTCGGTAATAGCGTTGTCGGTAAATTTTACCGACGGAATAGCAAATCCGTCGGTAAGTGTCATAGATACTTACCGATAGATATTTCGTCAGTAATTACCAATTATGCGCAAAACTTACCGACGGATAATCCGTCGGTAAATCCGTCGATAAAACCAGCTCTAGTTCCAGAGCATGTTTTTTTTTTTTTATCCCATATAACCTGTAAAATAATATTCAATCCAGTCCAATTCAACAATATTCAATCCAGTCCAATTCAATAATATATTAAACAATTCAATTAAACATAAATCTAACTCACGTTAATCATAAGTAAATTCAAATGTGCTGTAATTTATGCATAATGAAACATAATGTATAATCCTAAAAAGAGGATCAACATACAAATAGAATTGAAATATTATTCTATAGATGTTTGTATAACATTTAATAATGAGAGTAATCAGGAGAATGATGTTCTGGTATGTTGTCTTGTGGTGGGTTATCTTGTTGCTCTTCATTCAGTTGTTGTTGGGGTTGTTGTTCATCATGTGTTTCACTATGTTGACGCTGTTGAACAACAGATTGTGCAGTGGGGGTAGAAGATGACCGACAAGGGATTGAAACTCTCGAATTGGTGCTCTAGTCGTTCATTATGCTCCCTTGTTCGACGTATTTCTTCTTCTTGTACGAGATAATCGTTGTCTCAACCGATTAATCTCTTCTAAGTCAACTGAGGAGCTGGATGCTTGAATTTGATTCTTCAAGCTATTCGAACCACCACGATAGCCATCGGCAAGTTGTCCAACCCCATACAATCTTCCTTTATTCTTACCTCCAACTGTATCCACCCAACAACGGGACCTTATAACTTCATCATGTGCGGAATCAACGAGAGTAGACTCGGGTTCGCCACCACAAGATCCAGCAGATGACCTAGCTTGTGAAAGTCTAGTTTCAAATTCCTCCTATTAGTAGAAACAAATCAATTATTAACATGATTATTAACTTTACATAATATACAAAATTTAACACGAAGGTTCTCACGTGTGTCTTCCTAGATCTTTCATCAACAAAATGACCCCGTCTTCCTCCTAATATGAGTCTGTTGGAAGATCTCATCAATAAAAACTGATCTTCTAAGCTCCTTTGCCTACATTACATAAACAATTTGAGATATAAAACCCAATAAATATTGAATAAATCGTAAATGTATGATATAAAGACTTACCATACGTATGGCATGCTCATGTGTGTTGATAGAGCCACCTGTGTGAAGGCTCCCACCCTTTTCTGATGCCCTATTTTTTTGGGCTTGTGCAGATTTGGACCGATACATTGGTGAGTTCCAATGTGCTAGCAAACTGCTCCAAACATGATCTCCAATCCAGTCTGGTCTTTGACCAACAATTCTTGCATCCCTAAACATCTACTAAGTCTGTGAGATGCTTTGGAATGAAAATTCTTCTTTATTTGATGTTCATACTCTGGTCTCCACTGAACCTTCATCTATAAAAGTATAAATTGTTATACACATTATAGAAAATTGACTAAAAACATATATTCAATAATTATAAATATATACATTAATGGAAATCAATAGTAACATTAATAATTAAGTATGTACACAAGATTAAGTTACCTTAAAACGTTGAAAAAATGACTCCTTATCACTATTAGGTATCACTCCCCATGTGGCCCAAGGTTGAAGAAATTGTTGTTTAATACTCTTTGTTATAGCTTGTGATGCAACTCTAGACGGAAGAAACCTAATTACAAAGAAAAATTAATACAAGTTACATATGTGCTGAAAATGACTAAAACTTATTTATAATAAATAAATTGGAGAATTTAAATTAAATAT